ACCTTTCTCCTCCTTGTTCTCTCTTCTCCCTCATCTTCTTCCTTTCAATTCTCTTACCACACAATAAAATAACAATAACGCAACCCTACCCAGATCGGCGGTGGTGCCAAATAAACCCAACCTAAAGCTTAACCACACAAACCCTAACCCCCAAATCCCCAAGAACTCAACAAAACACAAACGAAAATCGCAATAAATACAGAATATAAGTGTTTTTTAACTCTATTGCCATGATTTTCTTTGAGTCACTGAGTTCTCTGATCGCTAATCCTCTCTTCTCTTCTCATTTTGCAAGTAATGGTGCGGAGGACGAAGATAAAGGATTCAAATTTTGATGGCGGCGTGACAACATATCTAGGGTTTCAACGACTTCTCCTTCTTCCTTTCTTTTTTAAAATTTTTCTTTTCCTCTGTTCTTAGAATTTTCTAGGGTTTTATAGTGTTTTTGGATTATCATATTAGGAAACCTTTTGATTGATTGTCGTTACAAATTCGTTGATTGAGGATTAGATTTTAGAAATTAGTTTGATTTGGATTCAATTTGTAAATTATTGAGATTTGATTATGTTAGATTAGGGAAAGATTGGATCTGTAATTGAAAATTCATTTGTAATTTAAGATTTGTTTTATAAAGATTTGATCTTGTTAATATTTTATTTTGATTTACGTTTTGATTTAGATTTGTTTTTGTGTAATTGATTCGTGTAAGTCTGAGATTTGATTTAACTTTTTCTGGAGATATTCATTTCTGGGCTTGGACTATGCTTAGGGAAGAACAAAAACAACAGTGTTGCAGCGTTGCATGGCGTTCATTAGGAAATAAGGGTTTTCTTACCCTATTTTGACTAAGTCAATGATTTTGAAATAATAATAATAAATAATAATAATAATTGTTTTAATAATAACCGTAAATAATAATAAATATGTGAATAATATTAATATTAATAATAATAGTTATAATAATTAATACTAACAACCATTCTATTAATCATTAGTATAATTGAATGAACAAAAAGTCAGAAATTGACTTCTGATTACTCTAAAAAAATGACGGACCTTCAAAAAATGATATGGAACATCCCCACACAAAAAACATATACTCCTTCTTAATATTATTTTTAAAAAAAATATTTTTTTTCATGAGCCCATAAGCGTTTTTGGATACACCCCTCTATTATTATTGCAACCGGCCAAAAAATTTAATGAAGCATTAGACTTTGATAGCCCATATGGGTAATGAGTTCTAAAATGTCCACCCGCTCTTAACATTTGGAATGGACTTTATATGAACCCTAAAGCTGACAAAGAAAGATGAAAAGGGCTTAACAAATTAGATGCTAAGCCCATAACCTAAGATGCACCCTCTATTAGAAATTAAATCACCTTTGTATAAAAGTTTAAATGACTAATTTTAACAAGAATAACTATAAGTTAGAAACATGATTACATAATATGATCACTGAAACGGATGAGGTAAATTTTGAAAATGACACCAATATTTTTTTTTTGCAATGTAACAATGGAAATTTGAACGAGATTTGGAACGAAATTTGGTGAAAGGTTAAATTCACCTTGTGATGTAACCGTGGCATACAGCAATGTGGTCCCTTCCAATGCATTTTTTTTCTTTTCTATTAATTTGACATAAAAGCATAATAATAATAATAATAATAATAATAATAATAATAATAATAATAATAATAATAATAATAATAGTAATAATAATAATAATAATAATAATAATAATAATAATAATAATAATAAAGCATAATAATAATAATAATAATAATAATAATAAAGCATAATAATAATAATAATAATAATAATAATAATAATAATAATAATAATAATAATAATAATAATAATAAAGCATAATAATAATAATAATAATAATAATAATAATAATAAAGCATAATAATAATAATAATAATAATAATAATAATAATAATAATAATAATAAAGCATAATAATAATAATAATAATAATAATAATAATAATAATAATAATAATAATAATAAAGCATAATAATAATAATAATAATAATAATAATAAAGCATAATAATAATAATAATAATAATAATAATAATAAAGCATAATAATAATAATAATAATAATAATAATAAAGCATAATAATAATAATAATAATAATAATAATAAAGCATAATAATAATAATAATAATAATAATAATAATAATAATAAAGCATAATAATAATAATAATAATAATAATAATAATAATAATAATAATAATAATAATAATAATAATAATAATAATAATAATAATAATAAAGCATAATAATAATAATAATAATAAAGCATAATAATAATAATTATAATAATAATAATAATAATAAAGCGTAATAATAATAATAATAATAATAATAATAATAATAATAATAAAGCATAATAATAATAATAATAATAATAATAATAATAATAATAATAATAATTATTATTATTATTATAATAACAACAATAATAATAATAATAATAATAATAATAATAATAATAATAATCATAATAATAATAATAATAATAATAATAATAATAATAATAAAATAATAATAAATAATAATAATAATAATAATAATAATAATAATAATAATAATAATAATAATAATAATAAATAATAATAATAATCATAATAATAATAATAATAATAATAATATAATAATAATAATCATAATAATAATAATAATAATCATAATAATAATATCATAATAATACTTAATCATAATCATAATAATAATAATAATAATAATAATAATAATAATAATAATAATAATAATAATAATCATAATAATAATAATAATAATAATAATAATAATAATAATAATAATATAATAATAATAATAATAATAATAATAATAATAATAATAATAATAATAATATATAATAATAATAATAATAATAATAATAATAATAATAGAATAATAATAATAATAATAATAATAATAATAATAATATATAATAATAATAAATAATAATAATAATAATAATAATAATAATAATAATAATAATAATAATAATAATAATAATAATAATAATAATAATAATAATAATAATAATAATAATAATAAAATAATAATAATAATAATAATAATAATAATAATAATAATAATAATAAATAATAATAATAATAATAATAATTAATAATAATAATATAATAAACATAATAATAAGACAACATACTCATTTTGGTCCCTTAACTATAGGTCATGATTGACTTTAGTCCCTTATTTTTTTTTTTTGTGCCAAAATGGTCCCTTAAGTTTCAAAATGCAACCGCGTTAGTCCTTTTGTAATTGGCCTCCAACGTCCGTTTATTTGCGTGAGGTGGTAAGTGAGCTGGCAGTTTTCTTCTTCTTCTTTACATGTAGACATCGTATTTGACAATGGTTTATAAATCTCCTTCACAAAATTTTGTTAACGTTCTCCTTCCCAAAAATTGTTGTCCTTTCTTCATCTTCTTCCCTTTCTCCATGAATATGAAGCATTCATCTTCCCCAACGAAGCTCTGTCAATTAGAAAGTGTTGGGTTAGGTGTATACAGTAGCTCGCGGATCGCATCACTTTGTCGTTGCGGAGACAATGTTGTTCTACGTAGGGCAACGACTGAGAAGAATTATGGAAGGAAATTTTGGTTTTGTCACAATTACAAGATAAGCCCTAATTTTGGTTTGGGTGTGTTAGAAGATGTAAACAACGTTTAAGCAGTTTGTGAAATTTGCAAGGCTCCTTGCAAAGAGGATGTGGCTTCTTCCATTTGTTTCACGAGGAATTGGCAGAGGAGTTGGCAGAAGACATTAACCAAGTCTTGAGTAATAGATTGGAAAGCATAGCAAAGGATTTAGATGAAACCAAGAATCAGTATGAAAATTTGAGGTTTAGAAATTAATAATTAGGGGATGTTGTGTTAGAACTTCAAATTCAACTCAACAAGATGTTGAAGTGGAAAAAAACATTGAAGATTCTGTGTTGTTGTAGTGTTATGTGTATTTGTTGTTAAGTTGTATTAGAAGTAGGAGTATGTAGCAGTTTGTGTGTAATTTTATCTATTTAAGAAATTAATGTGCAAGCTTATGTGTAATGTTAACATATGTTATCAGTTTAATAAGAATTATTTTGTTTGGCATATCATTAATCAAAGCAGATCAGTTTGGCATATTGTTAATTGTAGCAACATAATTTTGGGCACATTATATATGTTAATTATATTATGAGTCGATGCATGTTAGCATGAGTTGACTCATGTTAGTTATGTAACACAGAATGAGTCGATACATGTTGTTATGATTCGATGCAAGCAGATATTACAACATATTACAGAACCAACCATTTTACATGAGTTGATGCATAACACGTATGTGTCGACACATACTGGATTGAACTTTTGATTTTTGAAGACAAAACGTGTTAGGAGTCGATGCATGATGTTATGTATCGATGCATAAAAGTTCAAAAATATTTTACAGGGACATCAACATATCATATGTCTATGCATGAAGTTGTGTATCGATACATAAAGGTTGAAGGTTATATTCCAGGGGCATCAACATGTTATGATTCGATGCATGGCATGGATGTGTCGACTCATACTGAAGCAGAATCATTTTTATGATTATTTTCTTACGTATGCGTCGATGCAAAGCTGTTTGAGTCGACTCATAACAGTGTTTTATGTGTAAAACACATTCTTAACTCATTTTAAACATGTTATACTATATTTTTTACAATGCACACATGTAGGTAACATTCATTGATTATTTCACATATATATGCTATCATTCAAAACCAATTATATGAAGGGGTTGCTCACACACAACAGATTAGTTAAACTGAAAATAGGTAGTTCGCATTTGTTGCATAAGTATGTTCCAAAATACTGACATGTTACATAGACATTTTTCAAAAGCTTGACAGAATGAAATGTTCCAAAAGGTGGAAAGAATGACATGTTACATAGACATGTTCCAAAATACATAAACCCTAAAATGATAACTAGATGGTCCTTTTTGATGTGCTTCTCTTGGTTCGAGTAGATCGTCTTGGTTGATAGGACCAGTTGCATTCCTGGATGCTGAGAGTCTTGTTGTTGGTCCAGGGGGTACAAAGGGGCCTTCTCACACCTAGTTTTAGTAGTTTTCCAGTTTCACTAGCTTTCTCCTTTGTGCCTTGCCCTGGTACTGACTTTCCTTGTGAAGACTGAGTTGCATTCATGTAACCTTGTGCAACTGATGCTTGTGTTGCTGCAACCTGACTTGCAGTGATTTGAGATGCAGTGCCTTGTGTAGCATTGGCTTGATTTGCATTACCTTGAGCTGCAGTGGCTTGAGATGCAGTGCCTTGAGTTGCATTGACTTTGCAGGTTTTCTTGTTATGTCCAATTTTATTGCACAAAGAACACTTTACAATAAAACCAGTTCTTCTCAATTTTCTGTCAGTGCCATCAATCTCCCCTTGCTCAAGGTTTCTCTTTTTCTTTGGTCTACCAGGCATCTTTCTAAACTTAGGTGGTTGCGCATCAGGATATGGAGTTTTGGCCCACAGATTGGATCCATCTCTCTATCATGTAAGTTATGATCTCCTCTAGCATTGTTACTATGGTTTAGCCCTAGCTTCAACAATAACACTATTAAATGCCTCTGACATATTGTTCAACACATCAGCACAGCCACTTTGAAGATCCTCACTGTCATTGTCACTCCCCTTATATTCCTCTGTAACTTTCCTGCACTTTCCTTTTCCTTTTCCTTTTGATATTTCATTACTGTCATACAAAGTCAGGTCTGCAATTTCATTTTCATCAATGTCCACATAACCATCAGATTCATCTTCA